GGATATTTCCGTAACTTTCATTGTGGATATTTCTGGAATTGGAACTTTCCATTACGGTTATTTTCAGTAACTCATACAGTACCAATAAGAATGACACATCGTTGTTCTTTTTGCAGTAACTCATACAATACCGATAAGAATGATAAATCAATAAATGAACGGATATTTGGTGTTGATAATAGTGGAAGTAATAGGAGTAATTTAATGAATTGGATAGTACCATCAACTAGTGTCAATCAACGAATGCGACGTATTGAGGAAATTTTAGATTCAATACCATATTTCTTTGGTAGTATGCTTGATGATAATAAATTACAAAGACGATTACTTCTTGAATTAGGTAATTTTTCTTCTTCATACTAATTCCTTTCTCATTGCTAATTTGTTCGAATTTTTGAATTTTTTTTGAATAGTGAAAAAATAAGTCAAATGTGTTTTTTTTCTCTGCTCACGATCAAAAATTAATCAAGTGTTAATAATGGATATTATCATATTATCATTATGATAACTAGACTTTACGACTGAAAAGTTGGGAAGGGCTCCTCTACCCAGACTTTTACTACAAATGCTACAAATATGAGTGTATTCTTCCAGCCCATGCAGTACACTTTTTTAGATGAGACATAACGTGCGCGAAACTGATCCAACTCTTCATCACCTAAAATTCATTTGCTAAGATCTAGTAAGTTAGGACAGTAACAGGAAAGTCCTTAATTAGAGCACCTTTCTTTTAGATGAATAATCTTACAGGACTAAAGAAGCTTCATCTGCCCGGCATTAGAGTTAGAGTTGTCCTTCTCCAAGGATGATTGCCGGTAGGCTAGTGAGCCTATCCTGCTCGTGGATACGTTTTGTCTGACCCTTCAATTGACACCTGTTCGACATAGGAGACCTTAGTAGAGACATATGCCATCGCCAGCATAGTTCGCAATCGCATTAAGGATTGAAGCATCTTGTCCTCAACAAAGAGTTGTTCACGGAGAAGGGCGTTAAGTTAATAAAGATGTTAATAATAATATAAAATCTTTTTTTTCTTTCAAATTAATTAATTCAATTCATTTTAAAATTTTCATCCTATGCTCTAGCATTTAATAGTAGGTGATTGTTTGTTGATATCATGTCCAAAATCAAAAGGGGAAATAAATCTGGAATCAAATTGGTACTTGATTGTATTAGAACCAAATGAAATTATTTTAAAAGTTAGAGTAAGTTCTGCATCTTTTTGCTTTTCAAAAAAAAAAAATTCAGGAATCTTCCGTCAGTGTTCAATATATGTTTGGGCATTTATTTAATTAGTTTTTAAAATTTAATGGACTTTTTGTTAAAAAACGAGAACAAAATTTAATTTGTAATGGATAACGAATGGAAGGAACTAATTCGTATTCAGGTATCATATCGTGATAAAGTTTTAAAAATTTGGAATGGTAATAATACCACATTACATCAATATATCGAAAAACGATTATTGAAAACAATTGAACGACCGTGGAAAATCATTCCGGAACAGGTTTCAAATTAAACCAAACTTTAGATGTAATATAATAATAATAAAAAAGTCTGATAGTAATAGTAATAATAACAATAATAATCAGAGCAATAATGATAATAATAGTTCAGCATAGTTAATGTGTAATTGGCAACTAAATAAGTATTGGTAAAAAGTTAATTTTATTTAATTTCATTAAATGTTCCATAATTAACCGATATAAAATATTCAAAAATGTTTATCAAAACTTTTTTATTTTATGCTAAAAAAAAATATTATCGTAAAAAAAAATGGTGAGAATTTTGAGTAAAATTAAAATATTTGCAAAAATTTAAAAATTAAAAAATTAAATTTTTATTTAAAAAATATTTGTTATAGTTAACCAAAAAGATGCCAATTATTTCTTCTCATGCATTTCCAATTAATGATGCAATTTTTCCATTGGGTACACTTTCACAAAAAACACTAAATATTGATGAGAAACGTTGGATACCGGTAATTGAATTGAACATAGCTAATTGTAACATTAATGAATTGAAATGTTTGATTGATGAAGCGGAAAAACGATTACGATTTGGATCAGTGTTAGCCATTTGAAAATTTTCCCTTTAACAATTAAATGAAATCAATAAGAAGAAATAAATAAATTGATGAATTGATTAAAATTGATAATACATCAATTTTATTTCATGTATAAAGGGAGTCTGATTAATTAATTTTTCAAAATTTCAAAATAATTTATATTAATTGTTCTTTTTTTTTTTTTTAATCTGTCTATGTAACTATAGTAGATAAGTATGAAAATCAATAATTTTCATTGTATGTTACATGTGATCCTAAAATTTGTATGTAAATCTCATAGTGATATAATTTTCCCAAAAAACTTGCTATTTCGGAGTTTACGAACTTAAATTTCATGTTGATAATTATGTCAAAAGGATAAGTTGAAGTTAAAAAAAGAAAAAAAAACTGGGTTTCAAAAGTGTATTACGGAAGATTGCAATTTTCCGGAACTGTTTATTGCAAAATTATTGTATGTTCAGAAGAATTTGGCGATTATGGGGTATATGTCAGCATGGTCCTGAAAATGTATCATTAGTTCTTGAAGATATAATTTACGGATCACTTGCTGATTTTGTTCGAACAGATTTCAGGCCACAGGATCAGGTTATTAATATGAAAATCAATTTTGTGGGAAAAAAAAAAGGTTACATAAGTTTACTTACTCGAAATTAGCAGATGAAAATGGAATAAGCCACACTTGGGGGATTTATTTAAATTTGGCTAAAGCCAAAATGAGTACATATGCAAAAAATCACTATGCCTAAAGAATTAATTAAATAAAAGCACATTAATTGCTTTACTATTGTCCATTTCTAATTAATGACTGTTCATTCTTATGGTCAAACAACGGACTAATTAAAGCAATATTCTCTAGAAATGAATTAATTTATTATGAATAGCATTGGAGAAAAAAATGGAGGGAAATTAAATTGAAATTTCATTTATTATTATATAAATAATTGGATGATAATATTAGTAATGATTGATAATATAATTTAGCATGATGAATGAAAACTTCTGATTTGTTTGTTGCATTTCAGTAATTCATTTCCAGTACAGTTTAATTTGAATTATTTTATTCAGATTTCCTACATTTGTATAATCAATTAATTATTTTCTTCTAAAACTTTTCAATTTTATACAGTATGTAGCAATATTGGTATGATATCAATTTATAATTAGGATATTTTAAATGAGATAACTTCAGTTTCTTTTTTTATTTTTTTTATAGCAATGCAAATTTGCTATGCAGGTAACAAATAATCTCTAAAATTTTATTTTATCATTTACCTCCTTAGTAATGTAAATTTGGTACACAAATAACGGATAGTCTACCAAAATTTTAGTATTTATTTTTTTTTAGCTATGCAAATTTGCTGCACAAATAGTGGATGGTTTACGAAATCTTGAGAAATATGGCTTTATACATTATCGTTTATCAATTGATGTTTGTTTACTTACTTATAATTACAATGTAAAAATTGCAATTTATGGATTAAGTATGGGTGAATTATATCCAACATATGTTGATCTTGATGATATTGATCAATGCAGGTTAATTTGAAATTAAAATTTAATATCTAATAAATATTCCACTTTTAAGTTTCAATTTTTTTTCTTTAATAATCCGAATTTTTTTTTTTTTTGATATATATATATCAAATATAATTTCTTAATTACTGCAATATATTATAATATTTAGTGAATAATAAATTTGAAAAAAGGAAAAAGAAAATAATCTTCAATATTTGAAATTAATAATATGAAAAAAAGCTAAATGTTTTCAGATGGTTACCACCCGAATGTTTATCAAATTCAGGCAATACTTCCGCTCCGTACAATGCATCAGGAATGATTTATTCTTTCGGGATTATACTTTGGTCAATGTTTCATGGTGGTGCATTACCATTTGAAGATGAACCTGCTGATAATATTCGAAATCCTCAATATCGTATACAGAATCCATTATATATTGAACCGGAATTAGTCCCGAATGAAATTCGTAATGTAAGTTAATTTAGCATAAACATCCTTTTTTTTCATTCAAGCAATTTATCGGAATTAATTAATTAATTGTGTAAATAAATAATTGAAATGATATATTTTAGTAACAAAATAAAAAATTGAATGAATCATAGCATATCATATCATTCGGAATGATTCAAACTTTTAAATTTTAATTTGTTTTACTAAATGTATTTTTATAAAAAGAAATTATGATATTTGATGTTTTTTTTTTTTTTTTGTCTAAAGATTTTTCTTTGATATCTTTATTATCTGACAGAAGGATTATGTTAAGTCTGTTTGGTGTAATTATTAATTAATTAATATAGTATTCTTGAACTGAAACAATAGATAAAATTAACCAGGACATTTCATGGGATATCCGGAAGGAAAATTCGTTTATCGAATTAGTTTGATGTTAATAATTTCAAATAAAGAAATTTAATCCATTGATTCGTTATGAAATATGCGCGAAAAGTTTCAAATTTAACCTTCACACTAACAGTTTATTAGCCTAAAATAATTGTTATACTAATATCATTACATTGCATTATTATCATTATCACTATCATTACCATACTACCATCCTTACATTTCATTATCATTACCACTATCATTACAATTATTCAAAGGAATTTCATATGATTTTGAATTGTTACAGAGTTTTACTGTAATTTCAGGTGATATTATCATGTTGCAGTGAAGATATTGCTATTCGTGGTCGTCTAAAGAGTATCAAAATATATCTTCGAAATTATTCTCCACCAGCAACATAAATTTTTCACTATGCTTTATCAACCTTTGATATCATATCACTAATCAACTTATCGAATAAATTATGCCTGAAAATTTGTTCCGAATTTCATTCATGATTATTTACATATAATAATTGTTTTTTGGTTGATTAGTTTTTTAATTATTTTCATATTAGCTATAAGAATTTGAAGGAACTGAAAGTTAATCGATAAAATTTAAATTTAAAATATATGGCAAATTTACTTTTGCAATAAAAAATTTAAAGTATTGATATTAGCTAAACCTTCAATGTTTACAATTTATAACGTCAATTGTTGCGAATAAATAAATAATTCTTAATATTGATATTTTAGATGATTCATGCATTGTTTTCAAACTTTCTAACAAATCAATTTTTAAATTTGAGCTAACTAGAATTTCCGAATTTTAAACTTGAGAATTTTTAATTTTTTGAATTTTCGAGCTAAATATAAAAGTTATAGCGAAAGCAACTGTTTTCACAGAATGTTACTAACTGCTGCATAAACTTTGACCTTTTCAATTCTTTTTTACTGATCAGCTGTTGCTCATTCTTCCAGCTAACATTTGCTCAAAAAATATACGCCTCAAATTGCAAATGCCCTCAGTTATCGATTCCAACAATTTAAACACATACACATAGATTGTCCAAGTTTTTATCCGATGACCTTTTTGTCTAATGAGCCATCTACCAAACCTTTTTTGTCTAATGAGCCATCTGCCAATTTCTTTTTTTTTTCATACATTTTTCTTCTCTCTCGCATCTCTGTCCTCTCAATTATCATTTAATTCGTTTTAAAATTTAAATCTTAGTCTTTTTTTAAACTATTTTTGAATCAATCGCTTTTTTATTTAAATAACAAATGAAAATTTTAATTTCTGATTTAATTTTTCTTTAATTTTTTGTCAATTTTTCATTTTGTTTTTTATTATTTATTCATTTCTATTGTTTCATTTTTTAAACAAATTTTTTCATCAATAGTATTATTGGATAATTACTAATATTGCTAATATTTTTCGATGCTAACGAAAGCAATAATATATGTTACAATATTACTTATTGGAAATGGAAATGCATTACGTTTGTATGATCCTGTAACTCGTATTGAATTACAGCAAAAAAAGGTATAAAATTTATTTTTCTCATTGACAATTTTCTATAATATCGATCGAAAAATTTTTGTTTTTTAAATGGAATTAAAAATCTTTGGTTCTTTTAAAAAAAGTTTTAAACAAAAAATTTTTAACATTCTTTTAAATGTGCTAAAATATGACAAAAAATTTTTAAGTTCTTTTTTTTTGCTCTTTTTTTCCACTTTTTTTTTTAAGGGTGACAAAAATTACAAATGGTCCGAAGAATGGTTGGAAAATGTACCCATTGATCATTTCTCATTTCATGACAATCGAACTTTTCGCTTACGGTTTCTTTGTATTTTTAAATAATTTTTTTCTTTCATAATTTTAATGAAATTTTTTTTGGGTTTATAAAATTCAAACTGAAGACGAAAGTTTTTTTTGTTTTTGCAAAAGATTAAAAGGCTAAAAATTCTAAAAGAATAGCTAATTTTGTATTTTTTAGTCCTATTGATTTTAATATTTTCATTAATTGATATTTTTTATCTTTTGATTTTATAAATTTAAATTTTAAGTTATTTAATAAACACCGATTATTTCGCTCATAATGGACCAATTTTTTTCTACACTGGTAATGAAGGAAATGTTGAATTGTTTGCACAGAATACAGTAAGTTTAAAAATTTTTAATTTTGATTAATTAAACTGAAAAACTTATTTTGAGCTTCGTCAGCATAATATTTGTTAATGGATTAATTATTTTATCGTATAGTTCCAAATCTATTTCAGCATTCCATGATTTTCTTTTGTGAAATTAGTTATTCAATAGGATTTGGTGTTTTTATTATTTAAATATTCAGCCATTAAGTACCTTGTTATTAAGTTTCCATTTATTTAGTATTTTAGTACTAATTTTGCTAAAATTCAACTTTTCCGAATTTCATTGATTACTTTTTTTCATCACTTATTTGTTTGATAGCCATTTATTTGTTCCTTTTTTAAACATTTTATTCTTATTATTTATTAAATATTACAGTATTATGAGCAGCACACTTTATTAAGCGCTTATTTAGTATATAATTATTTAAATATTCTATTTCTATAACTCATTACTTATTTCCCAAGGTGTTATTGATTTGCTCAAATGATTTCTGATTTATTATCGATTTCCTATTTAATTTCAAATGTATAACTCAGGATCAAAATTATGTTCCCTGCTATTACTGATTAGGTCAATAATGTATGGTGGAAAAAGCAGAAATTTCTCTATTTCATAAACAATTATTGATTTGATCAAATATTTGATTTCTACCATTCATTATTTATTTATTGAACAATTATTGATTAGGTGAAATATTTCATTCCAATAGCATTCATTATCTTTTCGTAGATAATTATTGATTAGATTAAATATTTGATTTCTGATTTTTTATCAATTTCTTATTGAATAACAGATATCGATGTATTACGTGAAATGATTAAAGTATTCATCAGAATTTTTCTAAGATTATCGTTTCCTTTTTTCACATACATTTATTTATTTAATAAAATAAAATTATGTAAAGTACAAAGATGAAAATATTTTCTATTTTAAGGGTTTAATGTGGGATTTAGCACCACAATTGAATGCAATGGTTGTATTTGCTGAACATCGATTTTATGGGAAATCACAACCATTCGGTAATAAAAGTTATATAACAATTCAAAATTTCGGTTACTTATCATCCGAACAAGCATTGGGTGATTTTGCACTCCTCATAAATCATCTTAAAAATAAAGTAAATTTCAAATTTTTTGTTTAAATTTTAAATTTTTAAAGAAAGATTATTTGAAAAAAAAAATGGGAAAGAATGAAAATTCTACTTTAAATATTAAAATTTAAGCTATTAAATTAAATTATATTAATAGATATTTGGGAATTTATTATGGTCATTTTAGTAAAATCAAATAAAAACAATTACTGAAATGATAATTGATAAAAAAAGATATTATTTAATTGAATTTTTTTTGTTATCATTTCAATTAACTTTTTACATATTTGATGATTTAGGCTTTGCAAATTTTGCTATATTAATCAATTTTATTTTCATACGTATTGAAGAATCTTTTACAAAAATCAATACATGAACAATAAATGTTACGGAAGACTAATTTGATATTTGTGGGTGACAAATATATGTGGACAACTAATTATTTATGGGTAGGAAATATATGTATGGACAAGTAGTATAAGTGGGTGACAAGTAGTATATGTGGGTGACAAATATATATGAACAAATAGTATATGTGGGTGACAAATATACGTAGGCATATAGTATATTTAAGAGACAAATATATGTAAGCAAGTAGTATCTGTCAATGACAAATGTTCTTTTTTGAGTATTATTACTTATAGACATTTGATATTTATGATAATTTTTGTAAAATTGCAAATTAAAATATTATAAAATTTGTAAGGCAACGATAGTTTATCACATTTTTTGTTTTTAAATTTAATTTGTTTGTAAGAAATGATGTTAATCATTACATTTTCAATTAATTCAGTATCTTTCAATGGCTCAAAATTCATCTGTTATCGCATTTGGTGGATCATATGGTGGTATGCTTGCTGCATGGATGCGTATCAAATATCCACATTTGGTTGAAGGGTATTTTGTTATAAAATTTTTTAATTTTATTAAATTATTTCTTAATTTCATGAAAAAATTCCCTTCAACAAATCTTCTTGTTGTAAAATTTATTTTCATAAAATTGAAAATTTGAATCAATAATATTATTTAAAGATTGAAAAGGTAGAAATGTTGCTTGTTCGTTTGATAATTGTATGAAAACTAAAAAATGAAGGAATGGCAATATTTCAGATCGATAGCATCAAGTGCTCCGGTTTTTTGGTTTATTGATATGTCTGTACCGGATGATGCATATAGTCATATTGTTAAACGTTCTTTTGTGAATTCCGGTTGCATCGAGAGAAATATAATTAATGGATGGATTGCACTTAAAAATTTATCCTCAACAGGTCAATTTTTAATTTTTTCTTCCTCGAAAATTTTTAATTTTTTTTTATTTATTGTCTTTTTAGCATCTGGTCGAGATTATCTCAATCGTTTATTTCATTTGGATAAAAAATCGTACTTGAAAAGCAATACTGATTGGATAATGCTTAAAGAATACCTTGAAGATATATTTCAATCAATGGCTATGGTTAATTATCCATATCCGAGCAATTATTTAGCTAAACTTCCAGGATGGCCTGTTAAAGTTAGTTTTCATTTCACTTTTTTTTCAGCATTATTTTACAAATAATTGATTTTATGCATCGATTATTCTATTTATATGCAATGAAGCGTCCCGAAATTACCAAAATGTTTCGAAAATTATCAGTGGAATTATCAGTTTACAATTTATTGCAATGTTTTTATTGTAATTAATTACAATTTGGTGATAAAAGATGCAATTAGAACATTAATACTTAAATTTGAAAAAGATGAAACTCCGTCCATTAATTTTTATAACCCTTTTTAAATATCTTTTATAATTTACTTTTTTGTTACGGAAAATTAAATTTTATCTTGTAGTTATTTTAGATTAACGTTAATTTGAAATACATTTTAATTCATGCAATGAATATAACTTACAATTATGTATTTTTTTTTTCATTTTGGCATATTCGTCTTGTTTGCTAAGCAAATTTTCCTGCACATTTTAATTTGTTTTCTTTGCTAAGCAAATTTTCCTGCATATTTTAATTTGTTTTCTTTGCTAAGCAAATTTTTTGTGCAAATAAATTTATTACTTTTTTAATTTTTAGAAGAAAAAACAAAAAATTTCTTCAATACTTTTTTTTTCTTACCTTAACAATGATTGAAAATTATAATCATATCATTATCTAATGCAACTCTTACAATATGCATAAATAAATATCCAAAATCGTATTTTTTTTTTGCTTTAAAATATATCCTTATTTTAAATCCTGAAATATCTCATTTATACTTGCATGCAATCCTATTTATCGTAATAAAAGTTTATCATATTTCAGTAAGATATCTGGTGATATGAGATATCCCAAATATAGTATATGCAATTTTAATTTATTGTAATGAATGGTTATAAGAAGTTTATTATATTTAAGTAATCGATGTAATTAGTATGTGTAATCTTATTTATCATATTTCAAGGTTGCATGTCAATTTTTCAACAATACTAACAAACAAACTGATAAAGAATTGGCGCAAAGTATGTATGGGATAATGAACCTTTATTATAATTATACAGGCCAAAAGGAGCAATTTTGTATTGATCCAAAAGTATGTAAAGATACCGCATATGAAGCACTTGGTGATCCAATAGGTTGGTCATGGCAGGTATTATTCCTTTTTTTATGTTTGAAAATTTTAATTGAAATTTGAAATGAGCAAATAGAATTTGAGAGGTTAAAAATTTTTTTTGGTAAAAAAAAAGAATGCAAAATTTAACAAATCAAGAAAAAAAAGTTGTGGCATAAATTTTTCGTTTTACGCCATTTTCAAGCTAACAAATGTTTCGAATCTTCCAAATACGATAAATTACTGTGAGAATATCAAAATTGCTTAATTATCTTGATAGCTAATAGTTCATGTAATAAATGATTATGGGAACATATAACTATACAAATTGTAGGCAGTTAATTAACACTATTCCAATATAATTGTAGACAGTTAATTAACACCATTCCAACATTTAGGATTATCTTTTTTGTTTAACAAAAAAAAGAAATTGAAATTTTCAAAATATTATTTAAGTCCTGCACTGAAATGATCATGCAACTATGTTCCAGTGGTCCACCTAATGATTTCTTCATTAAAAATTGCCCATTTACTCTTGAAGGTACTATTTCAATCTTCAATTTAATTCATTTTTATTAATCTTTTGCTTTAATGAATTAATTCGGTTTACCACTAATTCTCCTAATTTTCAATTTTTAGCAATCTTTTCTACAAATTTTGTAAAACTAACTTTTAAAGGAAGAAAAAACATTTAAATATAAATCTCATAATAATAGTACGAGTACTTAATTAGCCAAATTAATAATGTTTTAATCAAAACTTCAGTTAGAAAAAAAAAGACGAATTATGGTAATTAATAGCCCATTGAATAGCAATATATTGTTAATGAATAATGTACATAATGATTTTGGTAATTTGCCATATATTACCAAAATGGGCCAAAAATTTAGATCAAGAATCATACTGTATCAATGCATTTGGTAAACTTGGATATACAAAAAATTTAATGCGACCACATTGGAGTATTTTAAATTATGGTAATCAATATCCAACGGCTACAAATATTATATTCAGGTTATTTTATTACATTTATAATGATGTTATAGAATGTGCTAAAATATTAATGATTTTAATTAATTTAAGAATTTCGATTTTTTTTCCTCAATAATTTGATGCTTATTTTAGATAATAATATTGAAATGGTAATTTTATATATTCTTGAAAGTATTTTGTGCAATATTTACATACACTTGCAAGATTTTTCTTTATTTCAATTTCAAATTTGAATAATTAAATCGTTACCTTAGAAAAAAAACTCAAAGAAAATATTAGTGTTGCATAATTAATAAGATTTATAAAATACAATACTCAAAGCTAAATTTTAGATAACATCAATTTGGAGAATAAAAAAAAAAAGGAAAAATGCTATTTTACTATACGATAGATTTACACATATATCATTTAAGGATTGCTTTAACAATTACAATAATTAATACTTTTGGTTAGCATACATTGATAAAGCGCTTATAATGTAAAGGTAATTAGGGTATATTGATTAAATAATGAGTAGAATACAAATTTTATACACTGATAGTACTCCTACTTATACAGAAAAGAATTTGGATCGTTTTTAATCTTAATCATAACCCATTTTGATACATGCAAATTAATTATATCACCAGAAATTTAATTATGAATTTTAATTATTTTTCTTTATTAGGGAAATTTTCCGTATTTATTTACAACAAATAGTGAAAATTTTTAATACAGTATGTTTTCAAATTTGATGAAAATTCCTTGATCGAAATTTATTATCGATATTACTGTTTGCTTTATTGATTATAATTAATTTTTCCAGAGAGAGCAAAATGCATTTAAAAAGAGGAATTTTGAAATGAAATAAAAATCGGATTAAAATGAGAATTTATCGATAATTGCTTTAAAGTATTGTAATTATTCAAGTAATCTTCATCCTCTTTATTTTGCTAATGAATTAAAATTTTGAATTGTGAAAAATTGAAGTAACGGATATCTGGATCCATGGTCTGCTGGTGGTTGGTCATTAAAATCACAACTGATAGGACCATTAATTAGTATTATCATTAAGGTTAGCTTTTTTTAATCATTTCAAAAATACATCTTTTTCAACTAATTATTAATCATTAATTAGTGAACGAGCTTTTTTGATATTTTTGATTCATTTATATAAGAAAAAAATTTAAGAACTTACGAAAAAACTTAAGAAGAAAGCAAAAAAAAGAAATATAAAATATTCAATTCACAAAGGTAAGTAAAAATATTTGTTAAATAATATGCTTAAATTATTGGAAATATTGGCAGATAATTAATATTTTAACAGGTAATCAATATTAAATGAATAATTATATAAACAATTTCAATAAAAAGTATGAATTTTAAGGATGGTGCGCATCATTACGATCTACGTGGTGAGCATCAATTGGATACGAAATCAGTGAAAGAAGCAAGATTGTTGGAAAAATTATGCATCAAACATTGGTTAAAAGTAGCAAAAATGAAGAAACAAAAAAGTTAATTATTAAATTTTCAATTCAAATTGTTCTTTTATTCTTTTCGAAATAAAAAATCTTTTCTGCTTGCTTTATTGACAAATATTACGAAAAAAAAAGAATGAAAAATAGAAAAATAAATTTAATTGTACGAACTGAAATAATTTAATCTTTTAAAAAATAAAAAAAATTTCCACATTTAATCAATAAATTTTATAGCAATTCAATAGAATGGTAGAAAAAAATTTTTTTTTGATTTACTTTGAATTGAAAAAAAAATGAAAGATCTTTCTAGAAAAAAAAAGAAAACTTCATAAGTAAAATGCATACATATCTGTTATAATTGTATTTATAATTTAGAAATTTTTCCTCATAACCAGGAATATTTTCCGGTTTTATTTTATTGCTATCTTCCAATTGATGTAATCACAAACAAGTCGTTATGATCGGTTTTCATTTCATTTGTATTCGATTCCTTATGAAACATGAAAATATCAAAAAAAGAAACGAAATATTCAAAATCAAATGTGTTGTAACATTGCATCATTTTAATGATTTAATCAATCAGTGTTTAAAAATAACCAATCGAGTTATGGATTTTTTTAATATGATATTTTTGATACTGTAATTGGAATTAAAATTACAATTTGGTAACATGCAACACTTTGATAATACATTGTAGCTAACATTATCACAACCAATTATTTATTTGACACTGATATTGCATTATGATTAATTCGATTATTATGTTATATTTTAATCTTTCCATTATAATTTATTTTATATTAAATTAATAACTTCGTATAAGTAACACTTAATAATTCGATATTAAAATTACTAAAATGATATTAAATGAAATAATATATTATAACTGATATCATCATATCCAATTATTTATTTGATATCGATATTGCATTATGATTAAATCGATATTATGCGATTTTTTGATAAATGCATTATAAGTGATATTATATTAAATTAATAATTAAATATCATATTTGGTAATACATTATAATAGATATTATCATATCAAAATATTAATTGAATATTAACATTGCATTATAATTAATTCCATATTATATGATATTTTGATCTGTATTATAATTAGTATTATATTGCATCATTTAATATTGTATTTTATTATTCTCAAATAGAATACAAAAAGCATACATAAATGTAAATTTTCAAAATTGCTATAAAACCTCCCAAAAAAAAAAAGATGATAGAAGTAGAGATTAGTATGAATGATAAATTTTAAGTGATAATAAATGCAATACTTGGAATTATTTTTACTTTTGCATTTAAGAGGCAAAAGGAAAGATTGCAATATGAAATATGTTAAATTCAAAAGTAAAAAAAAAATTTTAGTCTAAAAAATGCAATTTGAAAATTTTTAAAATCAAAGCATACCTTTTCAACTGGCTCATACTATGACAGTATTAAAATTTACAAATTTTTTTTTACATAATAACGCCAAAATAAAAAAAGAAAAAGAAAAAGTGGAATACTTATCGTAGGATGAAATTAATGCAAACATTTACACTTTTAAATTATTTATTTTTACAACTAATTTTTTTTCATTTTCTTTTCAAAGTGGTAAATTTGTTTGAAATTTCATTCATTATCTTTATTACTTTTTTTTCCGTTTCTTTTAGCTATAATATTGAATTATTAAAATGGATTTTTCAGAAAATAAAAGATAAAGCAATAATTTTGTATTTGTTTGTTAAATTATTTGAACAGAGAAAAGATTATTATTATTATTATTGTTGTTATCAATGAAGCATTTCTTAGCTTCACTAACTGATAAGGATGGCTTTTGTCTTATCAATTACAGTCAGTTTTTTCTATACAAAAGCATTATATAATTTCTACATTTTCCCAATTTAATACGGAAAGTAAACATATAAAAATTTTTATAGAAATTTCCAATTTTATCATTAATTAAAAAAAACTTTTTCAGCCAATATTTTTATAATTCATCCATAAAATATTGAATAAAGTGATTACTTTGTGTTAAGTAATTTGATTTAGTAATTAATTAATTACATTAAGATGAATCCTTATTTAGAAATATAATAAATTCATCCATGTTTTTTAAATTTTTATTTACACACGGTTAATAATTTTTTTTTCTTGAAATTATTATTAATTAAATGATGGATTTCTTATTTTTATTTATTAACAGATAAGGGATAAAAACTGAAACTTATATTTGCAATGATTTAGATTATTCGTTCATTTTTATCATTCTTCGAAATTTATCATCATCTTTTCATTTTTATTATTTCTCTGATAAAAATTAAATTTTCAGGAAAATGGCATCATTTTTCCATTATTATCCATTTCTACCATTGATATTATTAGAAGGATTAATCGTAGGAGTGATAAGTATTAGTGATAATGTTAAAAAACGTGGTCTATTTCCTCCAATTATAAATTTCATTCCTCCAACATTCATTCGTAATTCATCGAATGATATATGGATGACAAAAAAAACAATGAATAAAATGGAAGCAATGAATTATGAATGGGATATTAAATGGTATCAATCAATGCCAATTGATCATTTCAATTATCGAAATTTGGATACATTTGGTCTTAAGTGAGCAATTCTTTTTGTATGTTAAAATTGATAAAATTAAAGTTTCTGAAAATTTTGATTTTTTTTAAAAATTTATAAAAATATGGCAAAGAGAATGTGAAAGGAAAAAAAAAGTTCCCTTACTTTGCTAATAGTATATGCTTTTTTTTTTTTTTTTTTTTAGAAATTATATAAAAGATTTTTGGTAAATGATAATAAATTATTCCGGAAATATAAAGAATTATTTCAAAACAAGAATACGTTATATCGAAAATGTAATTAATTATTTGAAAAGTTTTAATAAATTTATTTTGGTGACATGACATAGTGAAGAAGGAGTGAAATTTAAAAGTTGAAAAGATATTATTTTAATGTACATTATTCTTCCTATTATCGTTTAATATTTTTAATCGATATTTTTTTAGTGAAAAATTCCTCGAAAAGCAAACAGTATATAAATTATTGATTTATTTTCCTAATTTTTTTTTTTTTGAAATTTATATTTTCATAGTTTTTCATTGCTCTCTATATATTAAAAAAAAAAAAAAGCACAAATTTCCTTACTTTTTTTTTAAGGTATTTAGTAAATTATTCCTATTTTAATTGTGATGGACCGTTATTTTTCTATGCTGGTAATGAGGGAGATATTGAAACATTTGCGCAAATGACGGTAAATCTACCTTTTTTCTTTTTTAAAATTAATTTAACAACAATTGTGTAAATTTGCAATTAATAAAAATTAACAGGGTATTATGTGGGATTTAGCACCACTATTCAATGCTGCTATCGTATTCGCAGAACATCGATACTACGGTGAATCGCAACCATTTGGAAAACGAAGTTATATGGTACTATTATGGACTTATATGATTATGTCTAGTTTTTGAATATTTGACGACATTACTAAATTATTTGAAGTGTAAATGATCACTGAATTTTGAATTATAATGATTACAGCACTATTGCACTATTGACGGTACGGTATCCTTAGATACAATGCCTCGTTTTTTGGGCATAAGGTTGCAAAAAAAAAAAACAAAAGAAAAACAAAAGACAGAAAAT